TAGATAGATAGATAGATAGATAGATAGATAGATAGATAGATAGATAGATAGATAGATAGATAGATAGATAGATGGAGATGGAGAAGATATAGATATAAATATAGAGCTCTTAATCACTGGGTGGAAGCTGTTCCACAAGTTATGACTTTGGGCTCCAAGAATTTGGCATGATTTGGTGGATGGGATTTGGAGTATGCCCTCCCTGATAGACCCAGTGTGGTGCATAAAAAAACAAGGCCGGACAGATAGTTCCACAATTAGTCTGGTCCTGTGCCATGTAGGGTGGTAACCCAACCCTCTCAGCCTACTCAGAGGCCACAATTCTCAAACAAGAGCTTACAGACTACCAGTTTTAATGAATGAAAGAAGGAAGAAAACAGAAAATGACTCCCGGATGAATCAAATAGTTCACTCAGTTTATAGCCTGGAACAGGAAGTGAAGCAAGCAATGAGGCTAAATATACATACCCCTTCTATTCTGACTCTTGTTTGTTGGAATGCAACAAAACTTATTTTCAGGTCAATATAAACACATTCTGATTAAGTGTTTCCCGTTAGCTGTCCCGTTGACCTAGTGCATTTCCTTTGCTAAAGCTTTGTTCAACAGAATTAAAAGCAGCATGTCCCAGATAAGATGCTCCTTACCTGTTTTTATATGGAGACCAAGATCTCCCGGAGAAAGATCAGTTGGGGATTTCAGCAAAGGTCAAACAGGAAAAATCAAGCAACAAAAACCATGGCTTTAAATCTTCATTACCTTGTATTGTAACATAGGCTGAAGTTGTCACCATTCCTTTTAGATTAGTGGCTATGCACTGGTAGGATCCAGCATCACTCTCTTGCACTCTTTCAATCAAGAGGCTCTGATTTCCTGGGCCTAATACTATACCTGCAGCATTGGAAAGATTCAAAATAAGTAGCTCATAAATACGGAGCCTAACCTGTCAAAGAAAATAAGACAGTCCCGAAGTTGTGATACGCCCTGCAAAACAAAGACATTGGCAATGTTTTCTTGTGATATGGAAGTAATGGATGCCATCACAGGCAGCTACCTGAGCTGGGAAGGACAATTGGCATTAGTGGAGGTTCCTGGCTTTTTCCCCCCACAAAGGAACTACATGGATGACAGGTGTAAAGCTCTGAATCTAGAACAGGGGTCTCCAACCTCGNGAACGCTTTAACATGTCAACAGGGAAATTACCTGGTTTTGAAAACTACCAGCCTCATCCATGGTGACCATTGATAGGGGGTTACGAGCAGTATTATCAAAACATTCTCGGAGGGTCAGTTCACTTTTCCTAAAGATATGTCACTTCTAATCCACTTTTGGCACATCTTGCATTTGAGAACATAATTTTTGAAATGATACATTACATGATTTAAAATGGTGAGTATAAAATAGGCATATTAAACACATTAATTTTGTTAGAAAGAAAGGAGAGGGAAAAAAGAGATACTTTCTAATAAACATTTGCTTTAAAAAATTACTTTTTTTTAGCACCTCATAGTATTAAAATCCGAGACTAGTTGAATAGTGAGCGGCTGGAATAATGTAAAAGAGTTATATTTACTTTAGTGATTTGAAACTTCCTGTGGAAATCGCTCCCAGGTTTCCTGATGGAAGATTTTGTTTATCTTTGCCAAGCACCATCAGGAATCTCAAAATAAAATGCCTTTAGTGACACTGGTCAGCCGGGAGATAAGGCTACACTGTTCCTGTCTCACCCTCAGTAATTGCAAACCCACCCAGGGTCCTGCTGCGTGCCAGCAAAACAGCCCAACAAATAGGGGAAGGATCAGAGTGAAAGGGTGGAGTGTGTGGAAGATAGAGAATAAACCACTCAACATTCAGAGATAGCTAAGGCGGCCACAGTAACTTTGATTATTATGAAGCCCCTAAAAATGAAATCTACTTAAAACAAAAACTTGAAGGCTAATCTGAGTAGACAATGGTGGGGGAGGGATCCTAATTACAGATAAAAGAATATTAAAACAGGACTAAGCTGAGGTTAATTGATATCTTTTTCAACTTTGTCTGCTCCTTTGATTTTGTTTGGTTCTGCTTCCTTTTACTTTTTAAAACCTAGAGGAGATAATTAATGGAAGGCTAAAGGATATTTTTCTGTATCAAATTCATAATCAAAGTAGTTGAAAAAAAGTAGTTCAGGGATCCACTCTGATCTATAATCATTGGGTGGAGCATATCATCTGGGTGAGATGCCCTGCATTTTGACTAATAGCTAGCAAAAAAAGCAACCCTCCACATTTCTTTCTACAACTATACTTCCTTGTTCAATCTGATGAAAGAGGGTTTGCTTTAGATATATTAATTGTATATCTAATTGTACTTAATTAGAAGGTGGCCAAAGGATTGGCTGAATATATTGTCTTTCATATGTTGCATAATATTCTTCCATCAAATGCAAATCTCCTTGGATTTTTCCTTTCCATTAATTTTAGGGATCCCTCTGTATTTTATTATAGCAAATAACAGTTGCTACCACCAAAAAGAATTCCTTGTTTTGAAAATTTAAGGGAAAAAAATCTTGTGGAATAAGTGATGGAAAATATTCACTTGGTTGAATTTCTCTTCACAAACATGGTGGGACATTGGGAAAGGCCAATTGTGCCCACCTTTGTGTTCCCTTAGCTTTCAATCTAATTAATTGGCAGTATAGAGTAGCAAAGTCTCAAAAGAGAATGGCCTTTTTAACCGCTCCCCCCATATGTTCCTGTCCCCACCTTAGCATTCTCTCTGGTTTTGCCAGACTTAAAATGAAAACAAACTTAAAAGTTGTTGAAAAGCTAAGAGACCTCTAGCAATCAGTCTAGCCCCCAAAGTATCTATTTTGAATACACTGAAAGGAAATCCTTTTTAGCATCCTGGCCTTTTGTTCACAGCCATCAGCATTTTGAATTGGCATTAGTTTAAAGATATTTTTTGTTGTTGTTCTTCTTGTTCCCTAGTAAATCAGAACATTTAGTGTTTTTTTTCTTCTTCAGCTGATTGGGAGAAGAAAATGCTAGCTAATTACACTAGCTTAAGCTTGAACAATTTCACACAGATGCTTTTCTCATACCCTTTTTAAAGCCCATAGCAAGATCTACTTAAGTCTGAAACTGATTTAAAAAGCTTTCCTTTCTTGGCAGGATCACGGGGTCCCATGGTTTACTTTCCCTCTGTTCATCCAGAGGGAATCCAGCACACATGTTGTGTCAGCATAAACCAAGCCATGACAGCTAAATGTTTATAGTCATTTAGTACTGATAAGTTTTCATTATATTTTAACGTTTAAGGATCCATTTGCTAGCCATTAAGGTGAGCAAATGTAGCATTGCATAGTTTTCATGGGGAAACTTGTACAAGAATATTTTAAGATGCCATGAGACGCTTTGAAATGATGGCAACTTCTTTTATAACTTCATTTGAGAGGGATGCCTAATTATATTAGCTGTTGATTTTAATTACAAGCCCAAACATGATCACTTAGATGATATTAAATGCTGTTGCATCTGTCATAACTATTCATTAATCACAAAATGGCAAAAAACACCACCACCAATATACCTAAATGTCATACGAATTAGTGGAACATGAAATGTACTTCACCTGTTACAAAATAACTGATGTCTCTTTTGTCCTTTCCCACTTTATTTGATGCTATGCAGCTGTAGGTTCCAGATGTTCTGGATTCAGCTACAACCAAGATGCTAGCAGTCTGTGAAAGGAAGAATAATTTTATATTTATACATTTTGAACCGTTCTTCACAGCTTAAACAATATCTGTAATATATAAGAAGACACATAAAACATGATTTTTCCCTCTCTTCAGAACAGTATAAATAATTTCAGCCACTAGTTCAACTGTAGCATTGATTCAATCCAATGCAAATTTCATTATGGGGAAAAAAGCCTATGGAGGTAATTGAACAATTAAGAGGAAAGCTGTTTTCCCAAGACACTTTTATATTATCATAGTAATTTCCTTTTGAATATATAAAATTAGGATGTTTGTTTTATCCCATGCTTAAGATGCTGCAGCCAACGATATGTGGTACAATGAAGATCCTGGGTCAGAAAGAAAAATTGGCAAGGAAATTTCCAGGAAAATCTGGCTCCCATTTGGAGAATGGAGAAACATCTAAGATAAAGAAGAGATTCTTGCCTTTCTTACTTACAAATTAAATACTAAATACAGTTGCAAGGCAATTAATAATAACTCTGCATGTGGCAGATTAAAAAATAACAATAAGAAGTTTGGCATTCAGATTATTTTTATAAGCAAAATAGAATCTATTTTTAGCACAGAAGGCCATTTAATTGTTGAAAATGATGTCCAGCGCTTACAATTAGTGAATGTTCAGAGATAAGGAAGATTCTGGAGAAGAAACACATGTCTGAAAAATTAAGCCACTGTGGATAAACAGTTGGTGGCGGGATCATTATATGATTTTGATAATTTTCAAAGACCACAAAATATACTTCATACTTATGGTCTAGATATTCCCTTAATGAGTTATCTCACTTTTGTTCTGAAGGTCTGCTTACAAAGCAAAATTTAACTTTGCTGTGATTAATAACAGGGAAACAGCCAACAATGGAAACTGTCATTGTTTTACCCAAACATCACATTCATAAACAAACCACACTTTTGTCTGATGTTTTAGCCTTCTCCCCTACCATCTTCAACAGCAGCCTGCCAACATTTTACAATACATCCTAAAAAATATTTCATTAGTCACCAAATTTTTTCCAACTGGTGCTTAATTGCCAAAGATAAAGGATGATCTCTCTATATAACCACCTCTTTCCTCTGTTTTTTAAAAATAACACCTTTGTTTTTATAAAGAAAAGCTGATAATTAAACAAAGACAGGTTTCACTGGCATAGTATTCACATGCATAGTATTCTTTGACCGAAGAAGACAAAGCATTCACAGCCATCCAAGAAATGCACAGGTCTCTTATAGCATATAAATAACACTGATTCATGCCTACAGAAGTGTAATAACAATGAGGAAGATTTTTATAATGAAAAAAACAAACACATGAGATATCATAGTTATTTCTTCCTAAGTTTAATGTCTTTTTATAACATATCTTGCTATAACTCAGATTAAAAAAGATGCAGGGATTTAAATGGCCTTTGCAAATCAGCCTGTAACTCTGATATCTAAGCAGCAGAGATAGGAAGGGGATACATTTTATATACTTTACATCCCACATAACTAACCTTCAGGCAGGGACTAAGGATCACATAAGTAATTTTCTGCAACTTTTATGAAAATGTTTAAATTAGTCTTGCCTCTATTATAAGCTTTGAACAAGGAAAATTTTCTAACCCTGATTTTCTAACCTTTTTAACCCTGCTAAAGGATCTCAGAAAATTTCAAAATTAAGAAAGCAAAATAGCAATAGCAATAGCAGTTAGACTTATATACCGCTTCATAGGGCTTTCAGCCCTCTCTAAGCCGTTTACAGAGTCAGCATATCGCCCCCTCAGTCTGGGTCCTCATTTCACCCACCTCGGAAGGATGGAAGGCTGAGTCAACCTTGAGCGGATGAGATTAGAACCGCTGAACTGCAGATAACAGCTGAAGTGGCCTGCAGTACTGCACCCTAACCACTGCGCCACCTCAGTTCCATATTTCCATTCCAGCACTCATGTTAATGATTAATTAAACATTCCTAATTTTAATGTTTCTCTCATGTTTAGATGTAACTACATAGTAGAATAAAATTGCACGGATAAAATTATTAACCTGGCCAACTATAACCAGCTGAAGAATATAAAAATATAATGGAAAATTCTATCAGGTTCTAGCTATGAAATGCTAAAGTATTAGAGCAAAATCGTCCCATCTTTTGCCATTATAATGAGAAAAAAAACATGTCCTAATACTGCAAAAATATAAATTGAATGTAG